GCGAGAACGCTGCTCTTCCCGCTCAGCGTAAGCGTCAGCGACATGACGGAAAAAGCGTTGCACGAATACTGAGATTTCACGGCACCTCGTCGAGCTATTTAAATTCACGTGTGTCGACCGTTCGTAGAAACCGCAGGCACATCTGTCCGCAGAAGTTCTGATCGTACGTCTGATAGGACGTGCGATTGTACTCATCATCGATCCCGAAATATCGCACCAGTTCCTTGGGCGGTCGAAGATTACCGAAACTGTCAAAGTGCACGACGCGATTGTTCCTCTTCGCGTACGCTACCCAGTACCGGATCCCGTCGCATCGTCCAGATTCACGATACCGCTTTCGTTTCGACACGCGCCGCTCGTCGGTAACGCGTTACGCATGAAAACACCTCTAAGGCCTGTTCTACAATACGTCGTATGTCGGCGTCGGGTGTCGTTTATCATTTGTCGTAAGTTGAATATCAAATAAGAAGAAAATAAATAAGAAGAAGGTGGTGGGTAAAACCACATTTCTATAAACCTGAGGGAAAAATTTGGTGCTCATAGAAAATTATTTCTATATTTTCAAATGAAAGATAATGAAGAATTTTTTAAATTTACAAGGATGTCAATCCAACAATTCGATTATTTACATGAACTTCTGTATCCAAAGTTACAAAAAAAAGTCGTAGAGAATCTTTATCAACAGAACTACGTGTTAGTGACATTAAGGTTAGTTTATTGATTATATTCAATTTCACATATTATTAATATAGTTAATTTATATTTTATTCTTCTGCAAAATATTAAATTTTATCGCATTCGAATTTATTTTCAGCTTTCTTGCTCATGGGGATAGCATAAGCTCTACTTTTTTACTTTATCGGATAGGGAGATCAACTCTCTATAGTATTATTCCAGAAGTATGTAATGCTATATGGGAAGTGTTGCAACCGATGTATCTCCGATGTCCACAAAACGAAAATGAATGAATGGAAATTGCAAAAGAGTTTAACAATATTTGGAACTTTCCAAATTGCATCGGAGCAATTGACGGAAAACATTGTCGGATTCAAGCTCCATCTAATTCAGGCAGTGCTTTTCATATATAATTATAAGGGTTATTTCAGTCTCATATTAATGGCCATTGCAGATGCTCGTTATCGTTTTATTTGGGTCGACATTGGAGATTATGGTATATATTATTTCAAAATTTTAAAAGCAAGATCTATCAAGAATATATTCATATTTTGTATATTGCAGGTTCCCTGAATGATGCAGGAATTTGGTCTAATACCGCAATGAAAGAAGCATTTGAAAACAACACATTATCTATACCAAAAGCTTGTCCTTTACCTAATACAAATTGCTCACTACCATTTTGTGTTGTTGGTGATGAAAGTTTTCCATTGAAAACATATTTGATGCGTCCATTTGCGAGAAGAAATTTACAAAATAATAATCAAAGGATATTCAATTATCGGTTATCAAGGGCACGTCGAGTCATTGAAAATGCTTTTGGGATTCTTGTTGCACGATGGCGTATTTTACTAAAACCATTAGCTCTAAAATTGAGTACTGTAGAAAAAATTATCCAAGCGATAACTTGTTTACATAATTACATTATAACTACTAAAGCAGCAAACAATCAATACTTAAACGAAGGAATGATAAATCGAGAAAATAATGGCGCGATTATACCAGGAAATTGGCGAAATATAGGAGAAAACAATTTGATTAATTCTTTAGGGCGTGTTGGTGCTAACATTGGTACAGCTGCTGCTATCAAATAACGTGAAACTCTGACACAATATTTTATTTCAAAAGAAGGAAATATTCCCTGGCAATGGGAATATATATAATATTCTATTATTCTTATATTCTATATATATATATAGTATATAAGTTTATATAATTTTAGTACATAAGAGTTAATAAATATTAAGTATTAATACAGAAATATTTTAGAACATAAGCTTCAATGACATTGTGTCTATTGACAATAATAAATACAAACTTTATGTATAATTAAAAGATTTTAACTAAATAACATATCTTTGTAGTTAACTTTTTATTAGTTATGAAATATAAACCATTTAAAAATACAACTTTTTATACAAATATCACATTATTAGTTATCACATTATTGTTGTATTTATAGAACACACTGATGGATTTGTATAAGATATTATTTATAAACTATTTTTTAAAAGGCACAAATCCAATATAAATAAGTATTTGAAAACTTAAAGAAACTACTTAAAATAAAAAAAATATATAAAAAAGCATTTTGATTGTAACTGTTTTTTAAAAATATGCAATCTTATATTATATCTTCTTTAAAATAAAATAAAAAAAATAGTTTATAAAATTAAAAATGTTTTTTATGCAATATTATTAATTAGAAAATAAGAATTAGGTTTAATATTAAATTGTGCATCAGACTAATACTTGAATAAATAGTTACAAAAATAACTTAATAGCTACAAATGTTATAAAACATTTTGAAAAAATTAACAAAATATACTTTCTAAATAAAATATTAAAATCAGATCTAAAAAACAAAAAAATTCTTTAATACTGAAAGTATTGCTTTTCTAAATAAATATAAAAAACTGTAGCAAAAATAGTAAAATGTAGTTTACAATGTTTTATAATCTTTCTTCATACTTCTGAATTATTTGAAGAACTTCAATAAGACATTGAGTCATATTTTTTCCAGGAATATAGTTTAATCCTTCTTCGATAGCGAATATATATCCATTTCTTTCACGTTTCTGATCACAAAATTGTGATGAAATTTCTTTTGCAGCCGTAGAAATTGCACTGCTTGCTTCTGATAACTCGCGATCAATTTGATCATCTTTGTTCTTTCTACGTTTTGCAAATTGATCCATTTCCGGTACTTTTTTTTTAATAGATTCAAACATTGGTAAACGTTTCAAATTTGAAGAGTTAGAAGTCGGTTTTGCATTATAGATTCTATGTTGCTTGAACTGCTGGACATGGTACTTACACGTTTCTTTATTGATTCGTCATTAATTGTTATCATAGTTTCCTCATTGCCAGTGAATAGCTGTCCTTCATCTGGAAATGTTTTATTGTATTAACATCAATATTGACAAACAATAGTTTCTTTTCAGTACAAACCTTTGACAAATTCACTGGATGCATCATAATCATGATCACTGGACGAAGAATTAACTTATAGATTAGAGTTATATAGAAGAATTAAAGTTATAGATTCCTTCAATGGCAACGAATTTTTTATTTTTGAAGGACTTATTTTTGATAGAGAACATACTGATCGATTTAATGGAATGAACGATTTTGTTCTGTTAATAAAATAATTAAGTAAAATATAATAAGTAAAGCTATCGAATAAATAAAACAGATTCCAAAATTTACCGTCGATGAACTATGTGAGGAAGTAAGAATGACATGATCCGATATAGTTCCCATTCTTTTGTTGGTTCATAACCAGAACCTGACGGTTGCAATTTTTGTTTTCTATTCTCTCTGGAAAACATATCTCTTAATGAGAACCAACGTTTCTCAATTGCTTCAGCTATAAAAACATTGAATTATGATTTGTTTGTAATATAAATATAGTAATAATTTAAAAAAAAACATATATACCTAACATATTTATATTGTACAAAGTCAAATTTTCACTTATTACTGACCATATTTCTTTCTTTTTACTATTATTTTTATAATTGAGATCGGATTTATCATATAAACATTTATTTTCACATACAAAATCTATGATGATTTCGTCAACACACTGGTGTATTCCATTTTAACAGAATATACTTAACCTTAAGGGGATGCTGGAGTCTCCTTTTTTACCGATAAAGCAAGCGTTTATGTTAAATGCGATTTTCTACGAATTAGTTGCACAGAATAAAAATTCCTTCTCCACGATTGAATTATCCGTGCTAATGTATCTGCTTCTGGTGTGTTTTGTGTCCAAAGCTGAGAAAAATAATAAATTACAGATTTCTGTATCCATATGCTATCAGCTCACCAAACATTTACTTCGTGAAAAAATTATATGCACGTTATATGCTCGAAATGAGAGCAGAAGCATATGTAGAATAAAACGACGAATACAGTCATATCTTTAGAATTGAGTTTTAACGTCTAAATAAAAAGATAATTTAGCATTCTACGAAATTGTGTATCTAGCGCGTGAGAAATCGACGATGTACGACAGTTCAGACTGTTGTAGAGTAACAAATTAGTTCCTGAATATTAATCCAGATGGTGCTGTGAATGAAGTGTCAGACGGGAAAGACGCGGCCGCTGTTGTGACCGGCCGAGATATGAAATACGTCAAATATGTCGTTTAGCTTACTACTTGGTGGGTAATGTAATGTTGTTTAAGGTCGCCACTCCATTTAACCGTCCTACGGAGAAGGAAAGCCGTCCCTCAGTCAGCAGCGATGTCCTTGCGTCTGTCACCTCGGATCCTCTCTTTCGCTCTGTGGAGACTTTGGCTGGGATATTTTTGAATAAATCACTCACTCACACGGTTTAAAATATAATAATATAATATATTTTAACAATAAAATCAAGTGTACATGAGTTTCGCGCACACGGAACGCGGTTTTGCGCGACGCAACTTTCCGGTCGCTAAAAGTGGATAAAATCAATTAATTCGATAAAATCGTTAATTCAGGGATAATTGTGTCACTATGACCTATCAATAAACGTGTTTCGCGCGTCCGCGGAGTCCTCTAATAAATGATGCAACGGTTGCGTAATACTTTGAAACGACAACGCGCGCGGAGACGTCCGTCCGGTTCGGCGCTCAAGAGCGACTGATGGCTTCGCCGTCCGTCTTGACCGGGTCGGCCACCTTGGCATCTTCACTCCCTCCATATGACCTCCGACCAATCACAAAATTCATTATCAAAGTAGGTCGGATCGCTTCGCGCTTCGGCAGGAAGGAACTCAGTGCCATACTTATTCGAAATCTCCTCTTGTGTTTTTCTCTAAAAATTCAATTTTAATTTCTAATTCGAGTTTTCCTCGATCAGCTGTTCGCCATGTGTGTTATATATATATGTATCTTTCGGAGATTCCGATTAAGTATCCGGATGAGATATTTACTCTTTTTAAACAAACTTATAAAATATTATTACAAAATTAACCTGTTTTAAATACAAAATAAAAT